TAATCTGGAGAGGGTGCAGGAGGAGGAAGAGGAAGTCGACAAGGTCAACAAGGAAGGGCAAGAATTCACGGCTGTTGCGTGGTCAAGCGATGACATATGTGCTACTGTGGTTGGAGACGGAGACGTAGTGATGTACGATGTGAAGACGGGGAAGAAGATGTGGGGGGATGCTGAGACACACGTAAGCCCTGTGCATTGTCTGGAGATGTCTAGAGATAGCAAGCGGGTGTTTACGGCAGCAGTGGATGGAACGTTTGCGATGTGGGACAGCAAGACGGGCGACAAGTTGTGGGAATGCGGGGAGGCCTGGGCCAAGGATGGTTACGATGGTTACGCAAAAGCATGTTGGTCCAATGATGGGACGAGGGTGTTCGTGTCGTTTGGAAGGGGGATGGGGTTGTGGGACGGGAAGACTGGGAACAAGTTATGGGAGAGAATCACAGACGGCTACATGCACATCGGGTGCATGGCGTGGGCTGGAAACGACACGAAGATCGCGCTTGGCGGTATGGGTAACGAGGGCAGGGTCGTGCTGTTAAGCGCCAGAACGGGAGAGGCGATCAGGGTCGCATGTGGGCATACAGATGGCAGGGTCGTGCTGCGCGGCGCCAAGACAGGAGAGACGATGGGCGATGCCCCCGAACGTGTCCCAGATTCGGTCGGCCTGAAATGGGCTGCGGACCAAGGTCTGCTTGAGTGGTATTCAGACGAATTTGCAGACGAAGTTCACATAGATTGGTTCAACTTTGTGAAGCGGCCCTGGAGAGAAGGTGAAGAAGGTGTGCGGGCTTCGTTCTTTGTTGAGAGGGCTCCGTTCTCTGTTGCGCGGGCTCTGTACCCTCATGCGGTGAAGTGGTCTCCAGATGACAAGTGGATCGCGTCAACTGGATATAATATGGTTGAAAATGATGAAAATGGGAAACCAAGCAGAGTCGGAGTTATGATCTGGAATTGGGAGACAGGTGTAACATATCGGTACCAGTGCCAGCTCCAGTGCCAGCTCAATAGAATGCCACTCTATCCGCTGGAATGGTCTGACGACGGACGACGCGTAGCCCTTGGAATTGGAGAAGAGCTTGCGATATGGGATATTGAGACAGGGGTGATGTTAAGGTATAGCACAAACAGTGAAGAAGATCTAAGGCATATTGCTTGGTTCCGGGACGGGTCGCGAATGGCGACGGTGGGCGGAAGAACGTGGGGTGGACGTGGAGGAACGTTACGAATCCTGTCCGTGACGAGTCAAAGCGCTGTCTGCGAAAAGCAATACGATGATGTTGGGTATCTCAAAGAGAGCGATCTGCGCCAGTTCATCGATACGAATGAGGGCAAACTCACCGCGGCGGATCTAGAGAGGAAACTGGAGAGGAAACTGAGGATTCGGCAAAAACGAGATGGAGTGTTCTACAAGACAGGAGATGACGAAATCCGCCTAGCAACCGTTGCGGGATATAGTTCGTACTGTTCTACTTCAGGTCGGCACATTGCGATCCAGGTAGAAGCAAAACTGTACTTTTACGAGCTCGTGCAGTAGTGTGATTGTGAGTGTGTGAATAACCACTGGGCAAAAGCGGATGTCCCGGCCAGGACAGGACAGGAGGGGTTGTACCCACGGTATATGTAGTAAGGGATGATGTGCCAGGAGAAATTTGTATGTATTTGAAGTTGTTTCTAGTTACCCGACGCCTCGATGCCCCTCTCCGCAAAAAAAGTAGCCGGCACATCTTTTCTATGTGTCGCGCGCAGTTGCGTCAGTGTGCGGGGAATAGTGTCGTCCAACGTAGACACTGCGCGTAGCGAGACCAGCAAACAAAACTGGAGGCGGAACAGGCACATACGATATCAGTCGTTGTACTATGAAGTTCAAGATATGCACGGCGGATTTGCGGTGGTTTTCGCTTTGTCAGGTATTAGAAACTTCGTTTCCGCCAGGAAACGAAACCTTGACGACGGTGTTGACGACGGTGTTAGCGTTGAGGTTGACGGCATGTGTAGCGTCGAAGACGGGCGGTCGTCGGGAGGCTGTGGCTTGTTGGTAGTGGTGGGGGGAGCATGATGGAGCATGAAGAGGTTGTGTGAAATGGAGGTTTTGGGTTGTTTGGCCACGGGCAACTGCTCGTGCACGGACACTCACACATGTAAGTGTGTTGAGTGTCCCTGTTCCAACCATCTCTTAAGAGATGGTTGGAAACAAGGAGGAAGAAGACAGGGGTACGGGATACCGCCGTGGCTATCCGATCAGCACTTGTTTGTGGTTACACCGTCAAGTAGACCGAGGCCAGGCACTCTTCCTTGTGCTCGGTGGGATGGCCAGAGACGACATTGTTTCCTGCCGCGGCCATTCTTGCTCGCCGGACATTCTCACTCACCGGAGGTACGACAGTCAGAAACACGTTGCAACCTGAATGTGATATATACATGTATAGTGAAGTCCCTTCTGCAATACATTTCACATACTTGTACGTGTACAAAAAATGGCGGGAGAACGAGAGAACGAGTGTGTGTTTTGTTCACCGTCGAGGGCTTGGATGACGTTCCCTTCAGTGAGGATGGGGGTGTCGTCGGCGAAGGCGATCGGGATAGAAAGGGGGGGAAACGAGAGGGCGGCGATGGGAACGGCGGTGCACCGGGAGGGGCGAGTCTAATGGCCATTTCTGAGTTGTGAGTTGCTGCATTTTTCTTTGCTCAAGACCTTGTTTCAATTAAAATGTTTCAATTAAAAAAGCGTTTATATAATTTAATACTGTAGCGCACAAGGGCCGACTCTCAGCACCCGGCGCCTACCGCTACGTGATCAACTTTCCGTGTTGCCAAACCAAAGGCATCAACCCCTCCTCGTCCTTCTCCGGCACCTTGACGCCGTCAATCTTCGTCAAAACAATGTGATGGTCCTGCACATCCTCGGTATGCTCAATCGTGCAACTTGCCGCCACCATGCACTCTTCCTCCACCCGTGTCCTATCCTCCTTCCCCAACGCAGCCCTCGTCACGTACCGCTCGGCAATGTCCTTCTGCCTTGTCGAAAGCGCGAACAGCCTCACGCCCGCCCCGACCCCGCCGAGCCCCGCGTAGAACGCACTCGAGTGCCCCACATTGAAGCATATCATCCCGCGCGCCGCCGCAGGCACCGTGACGGACGTCGCCGTCATCGCCAGATCCTCCCCGTGGGCCGCGCTGGTTGACACCACCCACATCGCCGACGGCATCTGTCGCAGCAACGTTTTGGTTTGCTTGTCCAGTGGGTAGAACGGCAGCTTGGAGCGCGGTACGTCGAGTGCCACCGCGCGCTTGGCAAGGTACGTGTCTCGGTAAATCGCCTGCACGAATTCCGCCTCGCCTAGGCTCACCGCCGTTACCACCGCCTGTACCACGGCGCACCCGCCCACGACGGAGATGTTCTTCAGCGATAAGTCGGCCGTGACGCCTGTCTTGCGCTCGTCCAGCATCAGTGACGAGGATGATGATGATGACGACGTCGAAGGCCGCGGCGCGAGAAGCTCCACCCTTACCTGGTTGAGGGGGTCTTCCGCGACGAGCGACGCCCTTTTGAAAAACTCGTCATCCGTCACAAATAAGACCACCTGCTCCGGCTGCATGGAGCACCCGCGAAAGTTGTCCAGTTCAATCTCCGCCCCGTCAAACGTGCACCGGTAGTAGTTGGTCACCGTGTGGTGCCCAATGTCACCAACCGCTTGCTGCCGCTCTGCGGCGGAGAGGCCCTTCTCATCGCCGGAGCTCGTGGACGTGGAGTTGGGCTCGCTCCGCAGGGCGGGGCTGAAGATGTTTGCCGAGTAGAGGCTCTTAGCGGGTGCGTCGGGCCACGTGGCCTCGGCGCGGTCCATGATTGTGATAACCACTGACCGACAATCATAGCATCCCCACCGGTAGTGGTTATAAGTTATAACCACTACCGGTTATAGCTTATAACGTATAACCACTACCGGTGGGGATGCTCTCATGCTCTGAGAGCATCCCCACCGGTACGCAATCAAATCAAATCATCAAATAACAACACTTGGCACACTTTTTCTGTAATTTGATTGGCTCCCTAGAATTTGGTTGTTTCGTTATTTGGCTGTTTGATGCTTCGGAAAGAACTGCCCCACCGGTGAGAACCAAATGAAGTACATTCCCCTCGTACTCACCATCGCATCCTTGTACTCACACTCGTACTCACCCTCGTATCGCACCCTCAGTCGTAGTCGCACGCTCACTCGAAACCCATCCCGCGACCTTCTCCCTCGCCACTCTGTCTGCACTCCTTCCCTCTCACCTCCACCGTGGACAAAGACAGACTGCCGGCGCTGTCCTCCCTGCTCACGGACAGCACGCGCTCCCCACGCGACCGCGAGCAGCGCGATCCCGGAGAGAACATACGCGCCGGCGGCAGCGGTGCTGCGGCGGATGATTGGCTCGACAGCCGCGAGCGACGTTCTCCTGCGGCGGCTGCTGCTGCTGAGCAGCGAATCGCACTGCGCTAGCACTGTCTGCGCTTGTGAACCTGTCGGAGGACGAGGCGGCGGCGGCCCTGACGCACGCGGACGCGGTGCGGCTCGCAGCGCAGGTGGTCCTGGACGCGGACGTCGTCGCGCTGCACGCGGCGCTGCTGTCCAACCTGACGCGCTTCGCGCCGGGCGTGGACGAAGCGGAGCGCGCGGACGGGTTTCGGGAGAGGGGCACGCTACTCGTGCTCGTGGAGAGGGTACCGAGTATTCCGAATGTGCTGCAGCTGTCGAATGCGTGCGCGAGCCAGGAGGGGAGGGACGTCCTGTTGGTCGAGGGAAGGCAGGCGGAGAGACAGCTGTTGACGAGGTTGCTGAGATTGCTGGAGGCGGGGGAGGCGGAGAAGAGGCTGGCGGGGGCGAGCTGGGTGCGGAACTGCGCGATGGCGGACGAGTGCCATGATGTGTTGGTGGGGGTACGGTGGCGGTCGCAATGTGCTTTGGGAGGTCAAAGGAGGTGGGACGGGAGGAGATGGCGGAGATTCGCGCCTGGTTGGTCGAGGAAGTGTTGTTGTTGTGTAAGAGCCGGGCGGGGAAGGACGCGCTCAGGGATGGCGGGGCCGTCGACGTTCTGGAGGGATGGAAGGGGGAAGAGCATGCACGCCGTAGTGAGCATTCTGGATCGGCGGGAGACACTGGTAATCTCGAGGCAAATACCGCATCGATGCACTTTTTTGTGGGAAGCCGTTTCGGTCGACCAATAGAACGTGCACAACTGGATTGTCAAGGGTAATCAAACAGAGACCATCCGAACCAAATTCTTGATATTTGGTTCCGATTTTTAGATCGACACCAAAAATTTGATGATTTGGTTGCACCGGTGGGGATTTCAATCGACATCAAATCATCAAATTTTGGTTGTTGGGGTATTAAATTCTACCGGTGGGGATGCTCTCACTCTATCGTGATTTTACTCTGTATTGTCGGCGACTTGCGTCAAAGGGCAGTTGTCGATGTGATTGGTGATGGCCGAAAGCGATGATGAGATTGGAGTTTATTTTTACCTTATTCCAGACCCAAAGTACTGTAAATTAGTTGATTTGTCGGCAGTGAACTACAGTACAACGCAAGATATTTTTATATTGGTGGCCATGAAGGCGGGTCTTAGCTCTGTTGTAAATAAAGATGTAAGGTATATGATAAGGTACACATTAAGTTAAACAAACGGCATACACCGATGCTGTAAGTAAAGAGACGTTAAATTAAAACAAAGGACAAATTACAGTTACAACGCTGCTTACAGTAAATGTTTACTCGGTAAAATTCCTGAGTAAACATTTACTCGCAAGCAGATTAACATTTACTCGGTGTCGAGTTGAAGGTTGCAAGTAAATGTTTACTCAAGAATTTTACTTAGTAAACATTTACTCGCAATCAGATTAACATTTACTCGGTGTCGAGTTGATGGTTGCGAGTAAATGTTTACTCGGTGACATTTCCGGGTAAACATTTACTCGCAAGCAGATTAACATTTACTCGGTGTCGAGTTGATGGTTGCGAGTAATTGTTTACTCGGTGACATTTCCGGGTAAACATTTACTCGCAAGCAGATTAACATTTACTCGGTGTCGAGTTGATGGTTGCGTGTAAATGTTTACTCCTTAACATTCCTGGGTAAACATTTACCCGGTGTCGAGTTGATGGTTGCGAGTAAATGTTCACTCCTTAACATTCCCCGGTAAACATGTACCCGCAACCAGTTTAACCTTTACTGTATGGCCTTTAATGGCTTACGAGACATGTCATACAGTCATTATAAACTGAGTGACATGTGATTGTTCATTCGACGATATGATATCGAGTATAGGTTTACTGTTCCTCGCTTTGCTTGACAGTTAACGTTTACTTACGGATAAAAGCGCGCGAAACCGGAACAATCCTCTCGTATTGCTGCGAACAGTTCGATTTTTAGGTTCCATATAAAAAGGGACCCGACGTTTTTTTATATCGAGCGCCGACCATCATTCTCACGGACGTCACTCTTTTGTTTTCTTGCGCGTTCGTTTTTTCGAAACCGTCACTCTTTTGTTTTCTTGCGCTTCGGTTTCTTTCACACTTGACCGCTTGCTGTTGTCAAGAACGGGTGTGGTTTGTGTCGCTCTGTGTTTCGTTTTCTAGACAGACAAATCGGGGATCTGACATTTCAACTGATTTTTTAGCCTCCGAGTTGTGTCTGACCGACATGTGCAGACAGGAAAAATAGCGCGATCTGCGTCCGTCGAGGCCGAGAGGACAGAGTCGACCCCTCACGGGGTCGATCGCCAGGTGAGAAATCTGACCTTGGCGGGGCTATAGCCACAGCGGGTGAGCCCGCTGGGGCCTTCGATACGCTTCAAGAAAGGGAGCCCTCGGCAGAAAAAGAAGGCCTCGAGGCGTGGAGCCAACTCAAAGTGTCCCCACTTCCATAACCCCTTTTTCGCTACACGTCCAGTCTCAGTTCTAAAGCCCGCAAGTTGCTACAGGGCGCAGTATGAGTCTGTCGAGGCTGTGGGGCTATCCCGCTGTCAAGCACGAAACGAAGGATGACAGGCCCTCTCCGAGTTTCGCTTCCCCAGTGAAACGAAACGCCGCCGCCCTTGCATGTAAAGGCCTCCATGCTGTCGTTTCTATTAAGTGGAAGTAAGCAATGATATCTTAAACGAAAAAATAGCGTGAACTTTATTTGGAATGCAAGATCATATATCCTCTTTCCTACGCTTTTGAATGCATGGACTATGCGCTGCGACGCGTTTGGGGAAAGCAGTTCCAAAGATTTCGAACCTACGCTCATGAATGCGGAATCCTATTTCTAGCATGCGGCATAGTAGTAAAATGGTTCTGCTCGCTGTGCGAAAACCATGTGCAAATCGAGCTGTCGGTATGGCATGCTCATATTGAGGTTAGCGCCCCGAACAATTGGCTGCCAAACACACAAGTTGATACTGTCCTTGCATCACGTGCAGGGCCTTTCTGGGGGCGCAGCAGGATCTGAAATGTTCACATGTAGCGTGTGTTTATGTTGCGTTTGGCAACCTGAAAAGGGGGGTGCAAATCTCATAATGAGTTTCGAGTACCAAAAAAAGGGGCTCGAAACTCATTTTGAGTTTCGAGTACCAAACAAAAGGGGCTTAAAACTCATAATGAGTTTCGAGTACCAAAAAAAAGGGACTCGAAACTCATGAGTTTCGAACCCCCGAAAAAAGGGACTCAAAACTCAAAATGAGAATGGCCTCGAATCATGCGCAGGGGCGCTTCAGGGGCGGGGCAGGTACTGTACTGTTCACATGCACAGTATTCTCATTTTGAGTTTCGAGTACCAAAAAAGGGGTTCGAAACTCATTTTGAGTTTCGAGTACCAAAAAAAGGGACTCGAAACTCAAAATGAGTTTCGAACCTGCAGAAAAAGGGATTCGAAATTGAGGTTGAGGTTTAGACCTACAGTAATTGGTACAGTATGAGTATCTGTACCAGCATCTCTTTGTCCGTTTTCTATTTTAGTCTCACTTGTAGTTTTTTTGAACTCTTTCTACTTCGTCAAACCTATGAGAAGCTTATCTGCCGTGCTGTAGTCAGTTGCGCCCTTTCGAAAAGAGTTGAAATTTTCTTTGCCAATGACGGGTGATGGATTTCTCGACAAACGTCGAACCATGCAATGGACGTTGAGAGTGATTCATCGTTCTGGCAGTGATGTACGGGTACCCGGACTGTACAGCGTACGATAAAAAGAGTTCTATCCGTTCCGGTTCCATCCAAAGTGATCAGCATAATGACCGGGCCACCCACGGGCAACCCACAAAAAGGGGGGTCCACTAAAACGGGACTAAAATCATGATGTACTGTATCTATAAAAAATACGTAACAAGGATATTAAATGTCATGGATGCAGCACTTCGCGAGAGAAGCGGCCCTGGGCTTCGTATGAGACACCGGTTACGCACCCACGTACCTACGGTACCTCGCTTACTCGTGCTGGATCTTCCAGCCTTCAACTTCTTTTGCATTTCTGACTGAATGGATAGAGAATCAAAAGCCTGCAGGTTTGTGGGAGTACAAAAACGTCGCTTCGCTTTATAGGAGGTCTCACGCGTCTAGAGATGAACGCCGTTGATAGGCATGTAGAAAAATCGGGACCCAAGAAAACCCCAGAAAAATCAGATAGAAAAGGGTTCAGGGGATAAGGTCTGCTTGTCTTGCATTCCACAGCTGTGTGGCTCTTTAGAAAGAATGCAAGTCGTACATATCGACATTTTTACTTACCCGACATGAAAATTATGAACTTTGTTGTCTAAGTTCCCCGATACAGCGATATATCCTTTGAGTGCGAAGGCGTTTTTGAGCCATTTTCATTGATGGAATATGCTGTTCAGAGTATGAGCTCATTACCAACCTGCGGAAACCGACGGCGGTCTATCGTACCAGCTGAAGATACGGAGAACATTGTGAGAGAGAGAGTGATGTGGTCTCGTGTATGTGAATTCTTTCATGAATCTACCGATGATTTCCTTCGTGGTATTGGGTTTTCATGTCATCCCGAAGACTTAAAGGAAAAAGACGCAGTTGAAGAACTATGTTCTAGGTCGATCCACTATTTGCGTGATGTCGTAGCCACCACAATTTCGAAAACACTGGACAGCAAGACGTACAAGAAAAGCTATATGCCTGCCGCACGTTCGCAACATAAGCGTAGAATAACTGCCCGCATCGTGAACCTTGCATGGTTTATATCGGTGGGTAGTGACGAACCTTATTCTAACTGCAGCGATGATGGGGTTAAGTACGCATGCCAGCACCTCGTCGCCGAACTTTCCCTGTTCAAAGCAGTGGCTGGGAGCCTGCCTCGGTGGTTGCGCTTGTCGTCTCCTTTTACTTTTCTCTTCATTCGTCTCTGTGCGATAGACTGCCACGTTATTTGGCAGAATGTTATCAATCATGAGGGGTTTGGCATTCAAAATACTCCCGACATGGTTGATTCGTTTCGTGAAGACAAGTTCAACATCCGCGATGTGGTTGAAAAGGTCAAGAATCGAGTTCAAACACAACTTCTGTCCATTCGTCTCGGATTCGTTCACAACGGCGACATTTCCATCGATTTATATGATCCCGCCGCTGTTGACGCTGGCCAGCTTGCAGATAGTGAGGTTTATAGTGATGACATAAGCGAAGAATTAGACCGTGTCGCTGGACTTGTTGTCGCGCTGAATGAGGTTGTGCTGCTCATTTGTGTTGTAGATCAACAATTTTCTGAAACGCTTAGTGCCCTTTGGAGATCAAAAGGGGGTAGTTCCACCAATTGGAAATGGAGAAAGCCAGAGAAGAAAGACCTTGGACCTGCTGTTTTTTATGAAAACGGAAATCCCATGGACATTTTTCGTCACATGATGCTGAGTATTGAATCCAGTAAGACAAAAATGAAAGAAGCCAAAGCAGATGCTGAGACAGAGCTATCTGCTCTAGCCGTCATTAGTCACATGTGCGCAGAAATTGCAAAGATGAAACACAAGACATTGAGTGTGTATGGCTACATGCCAGATGAAGAAGACACTGAACTTGATATCCGAAATGTTCCTCTACAGAACATGGTCCATGGCGTCTGGAAGTCAGCGGCGCGTGCGAATGTGCGAGTCCATGAAGCCCTTTCATCAAAGTTTGGCGTGGGAACAAAAGATTTACGCAGTGCACTCGGTGTTCTGAATGAGACATATTGGACTGGTTTGGCAGTGAAAAAGCGAGATAGTCCTCGGTACAGCATACAAAAAGATGTTGCTTCAACTTTTTTTCATGAGTTTGATCTGCACAGACCAGTTCTCTTCCGTTCGTGAAGCTGCCACCGAGTATGCTATGCAAATGGCATGAATGGAAGTTACTCACTAATGAAAGTAGTGTATGACCAATGAAGTAAAAATCGGTTGTTCTTCAAT